CAACAGAGCTAAAGGATCCCCTCGTAGTCGGCGAGAGCCGATCAAATGTCTATGTAGTTGGAAGGAGGTCGTGTGACCATGTCCACAACCCCTTTGTCTCTTCCCTTCTTGACATCCTATCTACTTGTTCTATACTGAAACATCTTTGCACATAGGCGACCTCCAGTAGAAGCACTACAACAGACTCAGTCCAGTCGAGAGAAGGGAGAGAGACAGAGAGAGAGAGAGAGAGAAAGAAAACACCACGTTCGTTATCTCTTTCCTTTCATCTTACATCTTCTAATTCTAGACTTGTCTAAAGACCAGTGTCTTCCATCTCTATCTCCGATTTCTCTCTCTCTCTCTCTTTCCCCTATCATCTATCTCTCTTCCGCCTCATTCCTCTCTGGTCTATTTTTATATTCTATTTGTATATCACTCAAGTGACTCTGTCAACGAACAGACTACCAAGCTCATAGTTCTACACTGACTTTTAACAGAATCAAACAAATACACTTTGATCCGCTTCGTTTCTCCACTGTACCACTTCCGCCCCATACATTCATTCGTACTCCTCACTATTCCTCGGCCATTGGAACCCTTCAAAGTTTGTATGACATTGATCCGTCCATATAAACTTTAGAACAATCTAAAACCACGACCTTTGATCCGTCAATCTCAACTTGTGACTTCTCTCAGCCCTTTGATCCGACATCTACTTTTACATTTGAGAAGCTTCATACTCACCTTTGATCCGCCCATCTCCACATATCTTTCCTCATTCGCCGATCTTTCGTTCTTTCCCCAATATCCAACATCCTAAACCTAACATTTGACATCCCCTATCTAACATTCCTCATATCCTCTTTCGACTTCCAACATTTTACCCCTACCATCTCAAATTGATCATACGACTTGAACAGTTCACATTTACCAAATACACACAACTCCGACTTTATAAATCCTACCAAATCAACTCCGACTCTCATAGAAGAATAAAGAACCCTACTATACAGCCCGGATCACCGAAGGGGTTTTAGATCAACATTGCTTCTTAAAGTCTAGAGGGGTAAGATCTGAGTAAACGAAGATCTGTTTCTTCTCATTTATACATTCTTAGTACTTTACATTCCGTCATTCTCATCTACCCATCTACCCGTCTACCCACCAACCCACATCACCTCCACTTCAGACCCTCAAACCATTGTTTGTCAGTACCCCAGATTTGGTCCAGAACTCGTACACTTCACTTGACCCACGATAAGGAAGCCAGTCGACTCCGCACAAGACCATATAAATACCACACATTGACCTACAACCCCTTCTCTCTGTCCTCCCATCACTGTCGATTTGGAAACACCACCCATTTAGATCTCATACACGAAACCTTCCACCACATACTTGACAGACACGACACTTCACCGTTCCCCTTTCCATCCTCAACACACTCGAAGAGAAATCAAATAACACCACGATGGATTATCTAACAATCCTCGCCACCCGTTCACTCATCCTGTTTCAATCCCCACCGATGGTTTATACACCACCTAAATCACCTCCTACTACCCCAACAGCAAACATAATGTTACTCCCTCCTGAAAGCATAAACATGCCATTACATTCTCTCTTATATGCCGATACAGATTGCGCATATTTCTTACTCCGACATATTCTATTACATTCTTTACCTCTTCCAATCCATGATTCTCCTCTTGCACTTGGTATCACTCTTCATGATCAACATCATAACACATTCCATGATCATCGCGATATAACACCTCACGATCAACCACGTCCACCTTACGGACGAACGGATTCCGTGGGACAAGCAAGTAGAGAATTACTCGCTCAGGCGGAATCTACAGCATGGGGGGAGATCGATAAAGCTAAGAAATTCGGAGTGGCTTTGGGTAGATGGTTTGGGAATCAGAGGGGTGGTAAAGGGATAGGAGAAGATCAGTTGAGAGGTTTGGCCGAGAAGTATGGATTGGGGTTGGCCAGTGTTTAGGGGGTGAGTCAGTGTGAGAGGTGTAAGGGGAGACCGGGAATAGTTGTTGGACCATGTGTGGAAGGAAGGACATTGTGGATTACATTAGTTGATAAGAGAATGACGAACATTACTTCAACGATTTATGAGTATCTCTTGTGTAGAGAGGAGACATATGTGACGAAGACAAGGGATAGTAATGGAGGAGGGACCGCAGAGAAGTATGAACTTATCAGATGACGTATTTGAAACGAACATATCATGTAGATTACATACATACGATTGGAGGAGTGATGTTTAAGCAATGGAGCGAAGTGTGAATGTTGTATTTTATATAGCTAGCAATATGTATCTATGTATAAGCTTGACGTCGATTTCTAAACATGGTTCGTTTCCTCATGAAAACCATTTCATGATACAAGTCAACGTATAGTACCCATGACGAAGATCGTATAATGAACGAGGTCTATGAGGGAGAAGAGGATCAGAATTGTATAAATACAAGAGTCATCGTGGAGAAAAGAACGATACGGTAGGGGAAAAAGAAGACTACGGAGATGTGAAGAGAACAATGATGAAAGAGAGTGATGAAAGTCATATGACAGACAAGAATGAGAGATGACAAGAAGAAGAAAACAATGAGCATTATATAAGGGCAATGAAACGAAAGTAACCCAGCAATCATCAAACTTCCTCCTATAGGTGTCAAAGGTCCTAATATCTTACCCAACTTTTCTCTATTCAAAACTAATCCGAAAATAGTTCCTGAGAAAGTTAATGATCCAAATAATATCATATTCGCGGCTATACGAAACCTCGATCCTCCCCCCGAACTGACTTTCATCCCACTTGTTAATGAAGTATTTCGGATCCCTAACGAGGGTATGGATCGTGTTTGCGTTTTCGTCGATGAGTTTGTTATTTCCGAAGAGGTAATTGAGGTGTTTGGGATGGAAATGGTGGAAGAAGTGAAATTGGGATGTAAAGATAAAACCAATAATCCTAATCCATTATAAATCAAATAATTCGAAGCTGTAGACCAAGAAGATAATTGATTATCAGATAAAGAAGGGTAATAAGATTTGAGACCGTGAGAACCGAATGCAGATGATGATATTCCTATAGCGGCTGAATGTCAGTTAATGGGTTTATGGGTCGATTCGGTCGATTGGGGTCATACTACTACATTCCTTCATCTCTGGGCTTGTGACCGGATAAATGATTCGTCATGATGGGATATCAATCGATATGTAGTGGTTCCAAGTTACATGCGCCAAGTTGAGAACATGTTCTCGGGGACTTGGGGCTGTGGATTGACTGATGATATGTACTGGAGTACTCGTACTAGACGTAATTGTAGTTGGGGACAGTTGGCACAGTGGGAGAGTCACTACTCACTGAGCAAAGCACCTGATCGCCATACGAATTTGTTCATCCCTCCACCGCACCACCACGTTCTCGTTTCTTCTGCTCTAGTAATGTGATATCGTATCTCCAAGGTTTCCCAAGTCTTCTTCGGGTGATTCCTACGATAGAGTGGGTTATGTATGTGTTTGGCCCATGGTGATGGGTGGAGGTGGGATCGGTTTCCCACGGTTGTCTTCACTGACCGCTTACATAAGCAGCTTCCAACTCGACCCGGTTCAAAGTATTCCTTCCCATCAGAGTAAGCTTAGTCTAACAACCATGACTGACTTACATATACATCCTCATTTCAATTACGAAGAAGCCGCTCATGCTGCCGCAGAGTATATATCCAGTGAGTGATCCCATAGCGGATTCAATTGAAAGTTTCCCCGCGAGACTGACACGATAGGTTTGGATAATCTCCCCGCTGAAATTGCATTTTTGACGGAAGAGATCAAAGAGAAAGATATACGTATAACTCGTTAGTCTTCCTAAGTCCACTTCATCTCTATCTTCCAATCCACTATTTACTATACCTTTCTTGAATCATCACAATCAACTCTCACCCCAGATGATCATTTCAAACGCACAAACGTAGTAGAGCTATCTGACCCAACAGAACTACTCAACCGTATAGGTTCTCGTCATTCAGGTCTAACACGTCAACTCAAAAACCCGACTCCAAGCAGCGCTACCTTCCCTCTTCCATTACCTCCCGGAGCTCCGATACCTGTAGATCATCTATCCACCAAAGACGCTCAAAACTTAGGAAAGATCCAAACGGAATGGGGAAAGATAGAAGCTTTACAAGAAGAAAAAGTCGCTTTAGCAGAAAGGATGGAAAGGATCATCAATCGTGCTAGGGAAAGAGGTAGGATGGAATGGATAAGAGTTGGAGGTAAAGATTTGGACAGTTTGGAAGATGAAGATGATAAAGTCGGTTTAGGAGAATTAGGAAATTCAGAAGTTTTGTTACCTCCGAGTGGTTTGGGTAGTGGCTCTGATATCAGACCTCAAAAGAGTGAGTATGGGTATAAAGTAACTTCCTCAGAGTTTCTTGTGTCAAACTCCTCTTCAAGATGTACTTTTGTTAATTTTCGTATGATGAACTATTTGGGAGGGAGGGGCAGAGATTTGATCAGAATTATGGTACAAGACTGATTCTTAGAACGTAAAATTCATGCTCTTCCATTACCTTTACCTTCTTCATCATACACAACACCAATCATCCATCCACCAGCAAACTCCATGCCACCACCTTCCATCCCACATCGTCCTTCCATGTCCGCAAGATCAACAACAAGACGTCATGAAAGACATACTTCAGCTTTATCCGATATCGATATGGAAGATGGGAATGGAGGTGAAGGAGATGGTGAAACTGAAACGGATGATAGGTTATATTGTTTTTGTCAACAAAAGAGTTATGGTGAGATGATTGGATGTGACAATGATAAATGTAAATATGAGTGGGTGAGTGATAGTTTTCCTTTCGTATCGTCCAGTGTCGTCGGTAAAACTGTTTCGGACTTGACATGTTCGTAACGAGCATAGAGCTCACTTCAGTTCCATATCAAATGCGTCAACGTCCACACACCGGTACCAGATACGTGGTATTGTCCAGACTGTGTTCAAAAGCTTGGTCTCAGTTCGAGCGATGGGACGGTGGCAGGAGGACAGAAAGAGAAGAAGGGTCGGAGGAGGTAATCGATGAGTTCAATCATTTCCAAGTTGTACATCGCGGGTAGTAGTGACATCGTGTACAACGTTTAATGTATCGCATTGTTGCATGAGATAGTTCTTTCAGACGTCAAACCCTTGTTACGGTTGCTGTCATGCTGCGCATGCTGTGAGGTTATGGGGTGATTGATCGGAGAATAGGCCTGCGGAGGTCCGTGGCGATAGCTGCGCGAAGCATATGGTAAGTATTATCGGAGGGACTGTTGATAGCAGGACGATGACCACCAGACGTGGGCGCAGGGTAGTAGCAAAGTAGCTAGCAGCATTAACAAAGTGAGGCGATTTCATAATGGACTCGCCCGGGTCTCTCCTCGTCCCTATACCCCTTTCCTCTATCCCTACCCCCTGTCCCCTACTCCCTAGCCCGTCGTACAATGGCGTGATAATCGTATCACCTGCGCCCTTGTTATCATAAGCATGGTGATATGGTGAGATCATGAGCGTTGCCTCGTGTCGAACACGCCAGAAGTACCTACCGACCCCTGAAAACATAATAATCCAATTACCAAAAAGACATAAGCATTTCCCTAATGGGAGTTAAGATAAACCCAGGATGATTCAGATAAGGAATACTAATGTCATTAGTAAAACATTCCTAATCCCCAACTACCCGAGTTAGTACGTAACCCTCCGAAGTCTCCGAAAATCCCATGCATCTTTTTTTCCCCATCTTCTTTCTGGATCAATCCCTCCATTGCGTTACCCACCTCTTCTCTTTCTTCTCTCCTTGGTCACATTTTACCCTCCGGACCTCTGGTCTCTTGTACCTGAGATCTCAGGATCTTGGGATTTGGGTTTATGGGAGTCAGGTTTCTGGGTTTTTGAGCATCTAAAGACAATTGAATTTTGTCTGATCTACTACGGTCTATTTCAATCATGTCAAATCTATCTCCTACGACAAAAAATCCTCCTATGGTCGAACAGACCAGGCCTCAAAATCAGAACCAAAACCAAAACCAAAACCAAAACCAAAATACCCAACCGGAAGATTTAAACATATCTCAACTTGACCTAACGACATATCCTTCTATACCACATGATTACCCTTATTCACCTAATTACAACCAGGGTTATCCTTATACCCACGGACATGGACTTGGACAAGGGTTCAATCCTTATTCCCCTCAACCGAACTTCACACCTGATTTCGGAAATCCTTATCAACCTCATATTTCCCCTGGTCCGAATAACCCACTCTCACCTTCTCTCAATGTACCTGGACCCCTGGGTGCTATGGGTCATCACAATCAAGGTTCAGGTGTGAGTGCCGGAGGTGGAATGGGCGGTTCCAATCTTGGAGGTGGGGTGAATATGGGTGTACCTAATTCCGGTTCGGGAGTACCAGGAGTAGGAGTGGGTTCGCCAGGGATAGGAGTAGGAGTGGGAGTTGGTTTACCAGGAATATCGGGATCAGGAGTAGGAGTCGCTGTAGCAAGTCTAGGAAGTTTAGGTCGTCCTCCAAATTCTCCAAATTATCGTCGTCCCAATTACCCCTCCGGACCTAATTGGTCAAGTCCACCTTTAAGTCCAAACATGTCAATGGGATCATCAATCACTTCTATACCTTTTAATCAACAACCTTATGTTGATGAATTCGGACAAAGAATGTTTTATCCTACTGCCCCACCTTCAGCTTGGAATTCACCGGGAACTACGTTCTATAATACTTTTTCAGGACCTATGATGGATGGTTTTTCCCAATCAAGGCCACAAATGGATGGTTTTTCCCAATCGAGGCCACAAATGGATGGTTATTCTCAATCCAGATCACAAATGGATGGTTATCCTTCACAATCTCAATCTCCACCTGGAAGAATCGGTTCACTAGGAATAGGTAGGATGAATGATCATTCTCAAGGAAGAGGGAGGAACGACAATTATCCCCAATCAAACTTAGGTGGCAGAGTCCCTTCTTGGCAACATCGAAATTCGTTTCAAGCTATTCCACCACAAGTACAGCCACAACCACAAGGACAGGGACAGGGGCAAGGACAAGGACAGAATAGACCTAATCAAACTTCTGGAAGAATGTCTTGGTCTGGTCCATCTAAAATGTTACCGAACGATCCTACGGAAAAGGAAACAGAAAGAAAACCTTATCATCCTCTTCCACCGGCTCAAAGGAGTGATTGGGTCATGTGGGTTGGTAATGTGTGAGTTTTTATTTATTTTCTGGGGTTATATATATACCAATCGAAGATCCGTCCCCGTTCTCTCTTCTTACTTCACGCTCAACTTCATCACTCCCGCGCTTCCGGAAGTAAACCGTCTCAATAGTCAAGGATCTCTTATTGCGTAAAGAGCTCTGCACTGATCCCAGTCCAAACAACACGTCCCACGAAGAACTCTGGAAATATTTCAACACCACCATTCCTATCTCTCCTCACGAAGATGAAAACTCTGAACCTTGGCGTGGCCCCTCGTCCATTTTCCTCATCTCACGTTCATCTTGCGCATTCGTCAACCTTTCCTCTCGGGATCGATCTTGATAGAGCTGTCAACTATTTCAACAATCGTTCTCTACGTCCATGGGATCCACGTTGTCCTCGATTGGTATGTCGAATCAGAAGAAAAGATGATGATCTGCGCGCTGGTGTTGGTGCTCAACGAGGTACCGGAATGCATAGAGCATGGATCAAAGAACAAGAGAAGAAAGGAGAACCGACATCGACATCTACTCCTAATCCTTCTCAAATTATTTCACCTCTTCCAACCTCAACCGTTCCATCACAATCCACCCAATCCCACCCAACTCGCTCGTCTTTACCTGATCAACCAACTCCTTCTGAAATACAAACCCCCGTTCCACCTCCCTTGAGTGTTCAATCAAACCTTGAACCACTTCCAACAGCATCATCCCTCGATCCACCCAGTCCAGCGATATTCGAACATCCTCCAGATGATCATAAACCCGAACCCATCGTCGAACAGAGATTGACAAAACATAAATCCTCAGCAAGTTTCGCCAGTACAAACTCTTCTTTCCTCATGAGACATTTCCCCAAACGTTACTTCATTTTGAAAAGTCTCACCGTCTCCGAACTTGAGGATAGTTATCGTACTGGAACTTGGAAAACACAAAAACATAACGAACCGATATTAGATCAAGCATTTCGAACTTCTCAAGAAGTCATTTTGATCTTCGGTGCTAATCGATCTGGTGGATTTTTCGGTTATGCTAAAATGATAGAACCAATAGACAAAGAGAAAGCCGCTGCATTATCACATTCACATCAAACGAATCCTTACCGATCAACTTCATTACAATCACGTTTAACTTCTTCTTCTGGTTCTATATCAGGTTCCGGATCAGGCTCTTTATCCGCGGGATCTATTCCAGTTCAAGGAATTAGACCTGGGATTGGAAATCAAACGAAATCTCAAACACAAAGTGAAAAGATCAAAGAAGAAGAAGAAGAAGCAGAAGATCGTCTAAGAGCAGAATCAGATCCACCAAAACCTACTTTTTTCTTATCACCTTCTTTGAATCATATTACGAATTCTTCACCTTCACAAATAACACCTGCATCTGAAGAAAATCAACATCCTGAAAATGTCATCCATAGGAATACGGATCCAAACAGGTATGATAAACCTAAAAATTCAAATCCTACTTTGGCGGTGTTGGAGAATAGGGATAGAGCACATACTTTAGATCCTAGTACTTTGAGAAGTAGGAATCCTTATTTTCCACCTGCGGAAATCGCTGCTGCTGCTGCTAAGGAAGCAGCGAAGATCACGACCGCAGAAGCTGAGAAAGCTCATGTAGAAAGAGAAAATATCAAGAAAAAGAATCTATTGAATCCAAAAGAAGAATTGGATGATGATGGTGTTAAGAGAAAAGATATGCTTTTTAGTTCGGAAGGAACACAGAATAAAATTGTCAATGATTCAAATAAAGGAACACAGAGTAAGATTGTTAATGATTCAAATATCAAAGTTGAATCAAATGCACAAATGTCTAAAGTGAAAGAGAAGGAGCGAATAGGTACAAAAGAACAAGAAAACGAAAGAGATAAAGAAGGTGATAAAGAAGAAGAAGAGTTAACGGGGATTTCAGGAAATTCTTTCAAGATTCAATGGATCAAAATTGGACCTTTATCTTTTAATAGGACTAGACATTTGAGAAACCCTTGGAATTCAGATAGAGAAGTAAAGATTTCTAGGGATGGGACGGAGTTGGAACCTAGTGAGTAAAGAGCTGTTCCGACGTTTCCTACATTTTCAACTCTTGTTTTCATACAAAAAATCATGTTTCGCTCATATTTCCAAAATTTACACCTGTCGAAATCATTCCGACTGACCTATGTCTACTCGCCCTTTGATGTAGAACTCCATTGGTATTTCCCGTGTCCATTTCAAAACACCCTGGTCTAGCTATGTAGATGTACAAAGTGACGAAGTGCTCAAACTCTGCGAAGAAACACAACACTAATGACTGCAGCCGTAGCTACTCGACTTTTGGCGGAATGGGAAAACGTACCCACTTTGACAACTCAAGGATCATTACCCGCTCCACCACTTTATTCTAATGTTGCTTCGTACGGTCAATCTCAATC